TCTGTTGCCACCTCCACACTCCAGTTATCACACACATAGATTGCTAGAATGAGGTAAGGCAATCTCTCTAGCATTAGTCTTCCTCTTTTCTCATTCGTCTGGCACATCTCTGCCATAACACCCCACATATCACATATGAGAAAGTCTGTACATTTTAATTTGATATTCAACTCAAGGCCCTCACCAACCTGCAGACTCAATTACCCTATAGCCCCATTTCCTGTTGCCTCTAACATAAACCCTCTCATCTAACCAAGTGTGGCTGCCTACTATATTCTAAACATTCCTTGATTTAAATTTTGTCATGTAATTTTTTCATCAACCTTTGAGTACTATATTATTATCTCCATTTTATAGATAAGGAAACTGAGGCACAGAGAAGTTAAGTAACTGGTTTAAGGAATCCACAGCTTTTCCTGAGAGTGGTCAAAGGTTGAACCCAGCGAGTCACTCTCTGGATGTGGGCTCTTAAGCACAGCCTTTCATAGGTGTCTTAATGCAGTCATCTTGAATGAGAGTCTGTGGTGTGACTTAGTTCTCCATTGAGTGACACATAGCACTTATTTGCATGGACCAGCCAGAGAATTCCTCTCTCAGGAGGTGACATTTCAGCCCAGACCTGGGAAGAACAGGATGGAGGAGGAGGGGAGAGGAGAGCATTCCAGGGACAAGGGAATGGTGTGTGCAAAGGCCTGGCACTTACTCTCTTATTCATAGGCAAGTATGGATGTTTATCGATTCGCCTTCATTCTATGTCTTTTGACAGCTTAAGCCAAATATGTCAATCTATTTTTTCAAAGTTTGTTTCTCATGTGATTCTTATACAGTTGGCATTTATTTATTTAATCATAGCAACTCTATGAGGTAGATCTTAATAGCTACATTTTACAGAGGGGGAAAAATTGAGACGCAAAAAGCGTTGTAATGTGCAAAAGCCTCACAATTAATAAGTGACAGGAAAAAAATGGCTGAGCTGGGGTGCACCTCAGTTTGTCCGAATCCTGTGATCTTTTCCCCATAGTGTTAATCAGTTATTCTAGATATTACCACAGATAATAATTTATACCCATACCTTAACAGAAGAATTTATCCCAACCAGGCTGTATACTAGTAGAGTACAGGGACCCTATTTAGTACTTGTCTCTCTCATAAACACCAACCACAGCTTTAGATATAAATAGTCAATAAATAAAAGTTATTTCCATGTATTAGTTTTGCTAAAGCCAGAGGCATTTCAAAGTGTTTTGCATATGGTGAAGCAAAATTTTAATAGTTGAAAAATGAATTATGTGCAGGGTACATGCATCATTTTTGTAAAAACAATAAAGCTATTTAAAAAATACCAGGCAGTGGTTCTGAAATCCATGGAACATAAAAACTAAGAACTAAGGCCAGCCTTATTTGTTTTGCAAATTTGGTCATTCAGCAAAATTTGTTAGGAGAGAATAATTTGAATTTTGTAGACTGTCATTTACATTCTCTGATTAATATCATGGATAAACAGATAAACAGTCATAGGTACTCCTGCCAGAACTACACATGGTCCCCGAGTTAGGTATCTCCTGTTTTTGTGGTTATAATACCATTGAAGAGTCACCAGAGTTCGAATTTGTCATCTTACAAATACTACTGCCTTATCAATGACTGCTCTATGGTTTTATTGTTAGTTATTTTTGGTAATCGACTGAATCTTTTTTTTTTTTTTTTTGAGACAGAGTCTCCCTTTGTTGTCCAGGCTAGAGTGAGTGCCGTGGCGTCAGCCTAGCTCACAGCAACCTCAAACTCCTGGGCTCAAGCGATCCTCCTGCCTCAGCCTCCCGAGTAGCTGGGACTACAGGCATGCGCCACCATGCCCGGCTAATTTTTTATATTAATCAGTTGCCAATTAATTTTTCTATTTATAGTAGAGACGGGTCTCGCTCTTGCTCAGGCTGGTTTTGAACTCCTGACCTTGAGCAATCCGCCCGCCTCGGGCTCCAAGAGCTAGGATTACAGGCGTGAGCACAGCGCCCGCTCGACTGAATCTTTATTGTCTTGTTTCCTGGTTGTCCTGATCTTTGTGAAACAGTGTTCTTAACTTCTGAATTCTCTTTGGTTGCAAGTGACCAAAACACACATGAATTCAATCAACTGAAAACGAAGAGTTTATTGAGATAGTTGTGGGGTGTGGCTCTCAAGAATCACCAAGCCACAGGGAGGACAGGAGTGCAGCAGTACTGGAGGAGCAACTGGAACTGGTTTTGAACAGTTCAGAATCTCTCCTTCTTTCACCTCTGATTCTCTTTCTTGCTGTAGGCTCCGTTCTCCATACGGTGGGAGTCCAGCACCACGCGCCACAGTTTACAGCATGAGCTACCAGAAAGAGACAGACCTGACATTCCTTTGATTCAAGCCCTCCAAAATCAGGAAAGGGTTTTTAATTAGCCCAGCCATCCTAGCTTGACCTGGAAGTTACCTTATTTGCCCATTTGGGGCCTGCTATGGCACAGGGCTCAGAAACCCTGACCTCACCTGGGACTGATTTGGCAGGTCCACGTTAGATTATTAGAATCATGTCTGCTAGCTGATTCTTAATGTAGACTGGCTGCCCTGAAGAAGCCCTCTGTCTTTTTTTGCCAACGGCAGTATCTCTGTTGGCTAACTGAGTTTCCTTTCCAAACTAAGGGGACATCTGCAGTGTACTCAGCACATCTGCAAATCTGAGATAACTGGTAAGCTGAGTTCCTTGTGTAACCTGTCTCATCACCTGCCCATGCAACTGCAGGTGACCCATTTGTGTCTTTTTCTGCTGGAGCATTCCTGTCTGTAACAGAATAATACTTTACATAGAATGACAGAAATAAAAACTAGACAAATGTTCTCTTCAAACAATTGGGACCATTGTCTTGTTATCAGTTTATCTAGTTGCTAAAGGAAAGTCCCAAAGAAGAAATAATACTTTGCTTTTCACAAGATTTTCAAAGAGAAAGTGGGAGGCTAAAGGTCACTGTCATCTTTCATCTTTGAACTGGTTTTTGATGTTATTTTTTTCCCCAGAACATTAAGAGCAGCTAACCACCTGGTTCCCTCATATTATGCAAATTATTGCATTTTAAAATCAGGTTGGATGTTATTTCTAGACTTGTAAGGGTTCTAATTTGTAAGAGGATAGTTTTTTGGTGCAAAAAGGTTTGTTTTTGGAGTAATTATGCTGTGATTAATAACTGTAGAGAGATGGTTTTTGTATAGATTGTTGTGCTGTCACTTTAGTTAAATTATAAAACATTTATAATTAACTTAGTATTTGCAAGACACTGTTGTGTGCATCCTATGAGATTGCTAAAGATAAGGAAGATACAGCTTGTGCCAAGCCCTGGAGGAGCTAAATTTGTACCATTACTCTCCTACCAGAGAGTTGTGGACAGCACAGCAGAATTGCATCGTGGGGAATGTCACCTACCATGCACATCCCACGGAGAGCACGAGGACAATTTGCACCCTGCAGTAGGCGAGGGGAGAGGTGGATCTGCCTCCTGCAGCCTGCTGGTCCCTGCGTGCCTCTCAGTGTGAGTACATCTAGGATTTAAAGGTACCCATTTTCCATACAGCATAGCTTCTAAATGTAAGCCAGCAAAAACTACTAGTGCTCACCAGGAGAAAAGTATCAGTTTTAATGGTGGAAACCACTGTTTTGGACTTCTTGTAAGACCATGTGACAGTCTCCAGCAATGGGTTCCTATGGGATTTTCAAGAATACCATTAACTAGAGGAGATTTTGCCTTATATGTTTAGAATTTAGTCCCTACATAAATGAGCTTCCAGTGAAATAGAGACATGAATAAGATGCATTCTGTGTTTCTACACAGAAGAGAGCATTTAATTAGCTGGTGTGTTTGGTTTGGGGGATAGTATCAGAGAAGATGTGGCATTTGAGCAGAGCTTCAAGGGAAGAAAAGGATTGTAGTAAGGTAGGAATGGGTAGTGGAAGGAAAAATTTCTGGTTCAGCAAACCATGTAGTTAATATGGCGTTCAGGGAATAGTGAATACTCTAATCAGCTCTGAAATATGTGGCTTTATTATATATTTATAGAGGAAGCCTCTACATGTAGGTTTGGATCAGAGTGGGGAGGGAGCCTTGGAAGCCTTGGTGAGAGTTTGGGTTTTATTATGTATGTGGTAGGGAGCCATTAAATTTTTTTTTTTTGTCATAGAGTGAAATTAGCCAAGGTATCACTCCCAGGCATGGTCAGGCTGGAATCCTGAAAGTTCAGAATAGGTCCTTGCAGACGCCCCACCAAGGGAGGGGCACTGTCTGGAAACAGCTGAGAGGATGATCTCTTCCAGGGGAGGCTGCACTTCGTGATCAGACTGGCTTCCTGAAGTGTGTGCAGAGTGGAGGACACGAGGTGACAGACCCTCAGCCCATTTTGCTGCCACTGACTGTGTGTTATATACGCCATCAACCCAACAATTCAGTTGACAGTTACTGCTTTATGAAAGCTTGTTCTTAAAGAAAGTAAGAAAGCAAAAATATATATATTTATAGTTTTTATATTTGCTCATATAGTTATTAAAATTTTGTTTATTATGTTTTTTACATAAAATTTCTCGCATTACCATTTTTTTTTTGGGTAAATTGTAATTTTTTTATGGAAAATATACAACTTGAATGGATTTGAGGCAATTGTGCCATAAGCAGATTTTCTTTAAGTGGCTAAAACAAAGTTTAAAAGCAACTAACAATAAATGTTCTGGTACAGGATAGCAGTAAAAAAATAGTGTACGAGTACCTGGATAAATACACCCGTTTGCAATAGTCGACTTTTAAGAACATATTGTTGACTGTCCATAGTCCACGCAGAGTTACAACTCCACACTTACAACAACATGCTGACAGTTCCTAAGAGAACTACTTTTAAAAGGCATTACCCAGATGTTCCCTATTTGACCAACTCCATCTAAGTTTACATGTGCAGAAGGCTTAGATATATTCAGAGTAAGCCACATGCTTGTTACTTGATCAATTTTCTAAAATAAGGTTTCAGGACAATGACAGTAAGATAAGGGAAGAAAACATGGAGGAATGAAGTCCTAATTACTATACATGCATATTTTTTTGACCTTTTACAGATAAGTTACCTTTTACAGATAAGTTACAAACAAAGAAAAGGCAAATAAATAATTTCGTACAAGAAATTTAACACATTCTGTACAACGTCTTCGCTTTGCTGTCATCATTTGTACAAACTCTTCATAGTTTACTTGACCATCACCATCAATATCTGCTTCCCTGATCATTTCATCAACCTCTTCATCTGTTAACTTCTCTCCAAGGTTTGTCATCACATGGCGAAGCTCTGCTGCACTAATATAGCCATTGCCATCCTTGTCAAACACACGGAATGCTTCTCTAATTTCTTCTTCACTGTCTGTGTCTTTCATTTTTCTTGCCATCATGGTCAGAAATTCAGGGAAGTCAATTGTTCCATTACCATCAGCATCTACTTCATTGATCATGTCCTGTAACTCTGCTTCTGTGGGATTCTGCCCAAGAGACCTCATCACAGTTCCCAATTCCTTTGTTATAGTTCCATCACCATCCTTGTCAAATAGTGAAAAAGCTTCTTTGAATTCTGCAATCTGCTCTTCAGTCAGTTGGTCAGCCATGCTGCAAGCGCTACTGGTTTCCGAGACGCGACCACACAACCACTCGGCTCGCTAGCTCCACTCGGACTCTCGCGTTAACCATTTTTAAGTGTACCATTTTTCTGTGACATTAAGTACATTCACATTGTTTTGCAGCTGTTATCACCAACCATCCCCAGAACCTTTTCATCCTCACAAGGTGAAGATGTGAAAATCTTCACATCTGAAACTGCGTACCCATTAAACACTTAACTCCTCATTCCCTACTCCTCCCAGCCCCTGGCAACCACCTTTCTATCAGCAGTCCCCAACCTTTTTGGCACCAGGGACCAATTTTATGGAAGACAATTTTTCCACAGATGGTGTGGGGGGAGAGGTGGAGCTCAGGCGGTGATGTGAGCCATGGGGAGCAGCTGTAAATACAGATGGAGTGTTTCTTCCTCACCTGCTGCTCACCCCTGTGCTGTGCAGCTGGTTCCTAAATTTCATATTTTGTGGAAGATAATTTTTCCATGGACCAGGGTTGGGGCTGCCATGGGGAGTGGCTGTGAATACAGATGAAGCTTTGTGTTTTGCTTGCTTGACCTCCACTCACCTCCTGCTGTGGGCCTGGTTCCTAAGTTTCATGGAAGACAGACAATTTTTCTATGCGGTTGGCGGGGTGCTCTGCAGCCCAGTTCCTAACAGACTTACCAGCAGAGGCTGGGGGTCGCAGTCTATGAATTTGACTGCTCTGGGCACTTCACATAATCAGATTCATATGCAGTATTTGTCCTTCTGTGACTGGCTTATTTCACTTAGTGTAATGTCTTCAAGGTTCGTCAATGTAGTAGCATGTGTCAGAATTTCCTTCCTTTTTAAAACTGAATAATTTTCTATTATGTGTATATACCACATTTGATTATTCATTCATCTGTCGATGGACAATTGGGTTGCTTCCACCTTTGGCTGTTGTGAATAACGATGCTGTGAACATTGGAACTCTTGTGCACTGCGGAAACAGTGCACTGTGGAAACAGTATGGCTGTTCCTCAAAAAATTAAACATAGAATTATCATATGGTGCAACAATTCCAAGTCTGGTTAAAATTCTGTTTTAAATCATGATTCAGGCCGGGCACAGTGGCTCACGCCTGTAATCCTAGCACTCTGGGAGGCTGAGCCGGGCGGATTGCTCAAGGTCAGGAGTTCGAAACCAGCCTGAGCAAGAGCGAGACCCTGTCTCTACTGTAAACAGAAAGAAATTAATTGGCCAACTAATATATATAGAAAAAATTAGCCTGGCATGGTGGCACATGCCTGTAGTCCCAGCTGCTTGGGAGGCTGAGGCAGTAGGATCGCTTGAGCCCAGGAGTTTGAGGTTGCTGTGAGCTAGGCTGACACCACAGCACTCACTCTAGCCTGGGCAACAAAGTGAAACTCTGTCTCAAAAAAATAAATAAATAAATAAAATAAAATAACTTGCCTATGTTAAATCTGTGTACTCTGTCTCTGCCATGTATGTGCCTGCTAATAACTCTGCTTTTTGTTTTTATTTTTAACCCTGGCTTCTCAGGGTTAGCCCCTGTGTTCTGCATGACTGATTGGTCAGAGGTTGTACTATACCTTGAGTTGATGGGTCTTATGTGAGTTCAGGAGCATATTCAAATTTCAGGCAGTTTTCACTCATGCCCAGCTTTTATTTTCTGCCAAGCCATTTCATGTCTCCTCTGAGTGTGCCACAGCCTTGTGGACAGGTAGAGATAAGTGGTTGGCTTGGGCCCTGCCTACTTTCTCCTGCATCCCCACACAGCCTTCCAGGTGGCCATGAATGCTTGGAGAGTGTATCATGTTCCTCTGTGATTGTCTCATTTTCTGTTAAGTTTCTGGCTAGTTTGCTGGTCTGTTTGCTGCAGCCAAGGCCACATCCTTGAGCTATCTGAGGTTCTAGTCTTCCTGCTTGTCTCTCACTCAGGTGGCTATAACCAACACTGCTGCTGGGCAGGGGTGTGGGTGTGTGTGTGTGTGTGTGTGTGTGTGTGTGTGTGTGTGCTTTTCTTGTGTTTTCTCAGTCAAGTTATTCTCCTCTTGCAACAAAGCTGGTAGAACTACCATGCTGACAAAGCTGGGAGTAAGGAATAGCAGCCTTGGGCAGGAATGCCATAGGCTTCTACTGTTCTAACTCAAAATCACTAGCTTTTAATCAAGAAATGCCTTTGGTTGATTTCTGGAACCCTGATTTAAATTTTTTTTTTTTTTTTACAGTTTTGTCTAGTTTTTCATTGCCTTTTGGAGGGAGGCTTTAGCATGCTGCTATACTGTAACTCTAAAGATGATTTTTAAGTACTGAAGGTATAGAGGAAGCCATATTATTACGATTGAGGTGGATGTTGGTTGAATATTCTTTTTTATGTGAATGTTTTTATTTTTATTATAAATAGAGGTTTGGGTTTTACTATAGTATCGTTAATGAGATACTTTTCATATATTTTCTAAAAAACTTTAGTACTTTGATTTTGCTAATTTCAAAAGCTGTATGTTTTTAAGAAGTATTAAATTTGAAAAGTATTTTTGCAAAAGGATTAGATATATTTGAAAGAAAGACTGATTATTAGCAGGAAACTTTTTTTTATGTTTAATCCCCTTTTATGTTTGAGATATGAATGTTTCTGGAAATTTTACAATTATCTCTCTTTTGAGATATGAATGTTTAAGGGAGTTCTACAATCCTCTGCTTAAAAAATTCTTTTTTCTGATTATAAATGTAGTACATTCTTGATGAAAATGAGGAAACTTAGGAAGGCAAAAATAGGAAAATAAGAATCATCATAATCATACTATTAGTACCAAGGAATAATTACCATATAAACTTTGATGTCTACCCTGCCAGACTTTTTCATGCATATTTTCTGTGAGGTCAAACCACGTATCTATCTCGAAACTGGCTTAAAAAAAAAAAACCAATAAAATTTGGTGAACATTTTCCTTTAGATATTCCTATAAAACATAATTTCAAATGGCTTCCCATAGATGTCAATAGTATATATGGATATTTATTTTAATTTATAGCTTGCTTATTGTTGGGAATTTAAATTTCTTCTTTTTTACCTATCATTTCTTCAGATCAAATTGAAGAGCGCTTGCTGAATTGGGCATGAACATTTTCAAAGCTTTTAATAATATTTCCAAACTGACCCCTCCATACCCATCCCCACTCCCAATTCAGGGTTTCACTGGCAGTGCACGAGTGCATTCTAACGATGCTTCCCTTCTAATATTGGCTTTTATTAAAAAATAAATACCTTTGCTAGTTTATTAGACTTAAATGTTTATTATTATTTCTGTGTCTCTTATTTTGTGATTGTCTTTATATCATATTATTTTTTAATAAAAATTTATTTAAATTTATTTGTCATATCACCTCATGAATCTTGATTCAGATCTTGGTCTGAAGAAATTAGTTTAAAAAGAGAAGAAATCTAAATTCCCAACAATAAACAAACAAATTAAGATAAATGTCCATAAATACTATCAGTATCTATGAAGCCATTTAAAAATTATGTTTTACAGGAATATCTAATGACGTAGGAAAATGTTCACCAAATCTCATTAGTTTTTTTTTATTTTTATTGTTTTTAAAAAGCATATTTTATTAGTGTAAGACAGGTGCATAGTTTAAACCCATACAAAATATGTGTGAAACAAGTCTGGTCAGAGTTCCCTTTTAACAAATGGAAATGAAGCTTTTCTTTTCTTTAAGAAGAAAATCCTACGAGGTTATCTATAAGGATTTATTTCTTTTGATTTTTAAGTAATGAATAAACCAGACTGAATTATATTTTCTTGTAAATACGCATTTTATATTATGAATCTTTGGATATTGATTTGCACTGTTCTATCACAACTTGGTTATATTTAATAGCATCAAAATTCTTATTAGACTTCTGATAATCACATGGAGAGACTCGATTGAAATATGTTCCCCATGTGTTCATATTTGATAGTTTTATTACTAAATTTGGAAGCTAGGAATTGACTATTTTCCTATAATTCTGGCTATATTTAAGTCCAAACTTCCCATCCTAAAACCATCTGGTCAAATGATATTTGTTCAAATTTATTAATAAAATTAGAAGAATCGTGTAGTGTTTCTGTTCTCATAGTTCTCTGATGTGTGTGCTAGGCAGCAGTAGTCTCAAAAGCAGTAAATAAACAAAAATATTCAGAGGCTTGATGTAGCTCCAGCTCTGCTATATCTGAAGGGCAAAATTGTATTATGATAAATGTGGCTATATCATTCATTATCAACTAGTACTTATACTGAGATTCCTTTAATGTGATTCAAGGTCTCAGACCAAAATAAGTGCCAAGAAAGATCACATTATCTGAACAATTAGAGCATTTGCACAAAGTCTTGGGAAGCTATTTGTTGGCTTTTTAACCAAAGGATCAGAATTTCTTTTTTGATTTCTCCTTGGCTATTAAATATCTCATAATCCATAATATTCATTAACTGTAGTGCTCAGAAATCCTTATTAGACCATTTTCAGCAAAGTATAAATATGATTTCCTTTACAGTACTGTCCTCTGGTACAAATTGATCCACTTACTGTCTGCTATTTACTAGTTCTGGAGATTAGTACTGAGTAATTCTCATGATTGATAACAAAAACATGTGGGCTTTAAAAAATCGATGGTTATCCAAACATATTCTTCTCAGAATTGTTCTGCAAGCTGTTTTTACTGTATCTATTATCTTACTGTTAGTCATTTGTGAATTTTTACTTTCTCTTAAGAGCTACAGCAGACTAGACTATTCTATTGAAAAAGGGAGTGAATGTTCATAAGGTGTTTCCTCCTTTCTCAGAATCGCGTAGGCTACTCATGATATATGAATAGTAGAATTATTACAATGTTGGAGCCTACCCTATTCTGGACTCCTCTTAGAAACATTCCATATTGATAGGATTTTTTTCTGTAAACCTATTGAATGCTATGTCCTTGTAATTGTGCTATGCTATAAATAAGTTAATTATTTTAAAAAATGATATAGAGCACCGAGAGGATAGAAAATGTATTTGGGATAGATCAGTGATTGAGTACTTTGGAACCCAAGTCTAAAATAAAAATTCACT